GTTTAGATGAGTTAAGTCTCAAGATTCATTAAATTAGGTATATTTTCAAGCTTAAAAAATTCTTATAGATATACTTATAACTCACTTATCAATAAGGTATAATAAAATTTGGTTCCACTACCGTGTGAGTTATAATCCAAATGCTTACCATCACTCGGGCAGGTTTGATAATCTATCACCTTAAAAGATGAAAATCATGGGACCAAGAGTCCAAGACCCCCTACCCTCAGCAGTCGATGTTTTCCGCTTTTAAGACGACCTACGGCCCAACGTTGGAGTGGTTTGTAGGAATTTGAGCGGAAAGCCCGAAGTAGGCCCATCTTAATTGAACTAGCTAATTAAAAATCTTTTGACCCAATATGCTAAAAGAAATAAAGAAAGCAATAAACATATGATGAAAATTGGAAAGTCAGTTTACATTGAGATTCTGCCTTAGTTGATTTATTTTTCATGAGATATTTTTAAAAAATGACGGTGAAAAATAAAAATTTTACAAATCAACACCACATAATTAATTTTTAAAAATTTTCACGTGTACTATGTTTTTATTAAAAAAATAAAAAAGTTTATATTAAATTTAGTTTTCCTTAAATTTGAAAAATAACGCCAATTTTTCTCCATTTCCAAAAGGATGGAATTATTTTCATGAAGAAAAATGAAATAGAACTTGAAATAGGGGAAATATCAATGAAGATGGAGAAGGCTGCGAAAGTGCTTCTAGATCTCAAGAAATGAGGTAGAATTTAGATCAAAACTTTTTATTTCATAAGGGGAAAAAAAGAATTTTCAGCTATTGATAAAATTTAATTAATGTAATTGAGATATTTATTGGGTGAGTGAATTTAGATAATTCATAAAATCCAAATTCAATTACATTATTGCATGCCAAAAATTTGATTTTGAAGAACAAGTAAAAGTCTCTTTAACTCTCTCCCTCCCTCTCTGCGCATGTGCCTCACTTTCCCTCCCCTCTTTTCTTCCTAGGAGCAGATCATCCAAACAATGATCCGAGCCAAATTATTATGACCTGAAAAACCCTATTTGCACTTTGATTTCAAATCAACATCCGACAGTAAGAGTGATGTGAATTACCAATTAAAAAATTCAGACATAACTGGAGGGGAAAATTTCAACTAAGGATCAGAAAAAAAATTTAATTTTAAGTGGATCTAAAAACATTATGAAATTTTAGTTTAATCAGGAGAAAAATTAAAAGAATTTTTACAGTGAAAAGACTAAAATACCTTTTACCCGTTATACAAAATCACCAATTATTAATTTTTTTATTTTACTTATTAATTTACAAATATAAGTTATAAATTATATGAGTTGACATGTCAATAATTATATAAAACTTGACATCAATTTTTTAATCATAAATAATAATATTATTTATTAAATTTCTAACTTTACTTATTAATTTACTAATATTAATTATAAATTACTGATAAGTCTTGTAATTTTCTGACATCAATTGTAAATTACTGACAAATTTTATAAATTACGATCGATATTAGTAAATTAATAAGTAAAGTTGATAAATTAATAACTAATATTATTAATTGTCTAATAAATGAATGTAATTTACAAATAATATTGTTAAATTAATAAGTACAATAAAAAATTAATAATTAGTAATGTTGCATCTTACATGAAGGGTATTTTAGTTTTTTTATTGTCAAAATTCTTTTGATCTCTCTCCCCTAAACTAACCTAAAATTTTAAAATATTTTTAGACTCACTTAAAACTAAATCTCTTTCTTATTTCTTAACCAAAATTCTCCCTGGCTAAAAAATTGTGAGACATAATGCATGCATGTTGTGACATTAAAATTGCTAAAAAGATGACTTCTGATATTAGTTTAAAATGATTTTTTTATTGATTTTAAATCTATTGTAAAAGCAATCAGTATAAAAAGTTTCATTTTCTAATTATAAACTGGTGTAGAAATATTTTAAATTATGAACCAGAACAAAAAGTTCAACAATAATAATGCAGCTTATTTGTAAAAATGTTACCGGTTATGTCTATTAAACAGTAGTTTCCTTTTTCACCCATTGTAAAATCTTGTTGTGAATTTTTTTTTATCCAAGTATAAAATTAAAATATACTCGCTTCTTTTTTATTTATAAAAAAACTATCACTTTTAACTTTTATTTAATATAATTAAAATAATATTTTTAATAAACATTTATTGTAATCTTTTTAAATTACTTTTTATAATTTTATCATTCATAATCATAAAAAATAATTAATAAAAGCTTGATTAATGTAATTAATAAAAGATATTATAATTTATTTTATTATTTTTAGACACAATTAACATAATTAATTAATTTTTTAAATTATATTATATTTTTTATTTAAAAATATAAGATATTTTTTGAGAAGTTAGATGTTTAAAAATATAAAATATTTTTAATTTTTTAAGATGTAATTATTATCTTTTTTTAAAAAGTGCTCATATTGATAGATAATTTTATATATATTGTAAAATATTTAATAAAAATAAATATAAAAAAATAAAATTAATTTAAAATAAATAATTATTTTATTAAAAATAAATTTTAATTAAAAATATTTTATATTTTTTAACGGAGTGTACAACCTTTTCCTTGCAAAGTAAAAACAAAGTGGGTAAATTGTCAATGGAACAAGTGCTCCACGTGTCGCCCTATCATTTACTACGATGACTTTGTGCCCCCTGCCCGACGAAATTGTTCATGAAACTCGGACTTCACTGAACAATAGTCAGAATAATAAAAAAGAAAAGATTACAAAATGAATGAGTTATATTTTAAAATATTTTTTTATTAATTATATTTTTAAATATTTTTTTGATTTTTATATAAATTATTTTTTTTGTTTTTCTTAATCTTTAATGCATAATTTAAAAAATATTTTTTAACAAATTTTTAAAAATATAATATTTGATTTGTAAAAAATTCCTTTTTATATGTTAAATAAATGTTTTTTAAATTTAGGAATAAAATTGAAAACTAAATTATTCTTAAAATAATTTTATTATTTTAATTAATTTATCTTGATCTTTATTTTTTTTTTTAAGATACAGCTAACTTTTTCTGAATTTAGTAATCATGTTTGACTTTTTTTTTTTTTTTAGGTTTCCGAGATCTTTCGAACCTGGCAATGGAAAAGGGAATGACGTGGACAATTCCAGCACTCCATCTAAATACTCAAGTAAATTTTAAGATGTGAATATCATTAAAAAATTTCTAAAAAGAATTAATATTTGACAAGAACTTAAATAAATTAAATATTTATTAAAAATAATAACTTTATTTTTTAATTATTAATGTTTACTGTTAAAATTTTTTGTTAAATATTAAATTATTTTAAAAATTCTTTAACAATATACTTCCTTATTTTTTTAAAGTTTTGGTCATAACGTGTCATCCCCGTCTTGTCTCATGCAATCTTTTCTCTGTCCACTTTTAATTCATCTAGAATCATATTCGTTAATATAATGTATAATTTTACCCTTGATTGTTTGTAAGGTTATTAAACTCATAAATTTAAATAAATTTATAATATAAATATAAATTTATATTATAAATTTAAATTATAAATTTATAAAAATTTATCTCTATTAATAAATATATATTAAAATATAATTATAATTTAATATAAATATATTAAAAATATAAATAATTAAAATTAAATTCATCTATGTTGATAAATTATCATATATAAGATATAAAAATTTTAAAATAAAAAAACTTATTTTTGATATTTTTGAAAAAATATTATCTTTTGTGTTTCAAGTATTTTCCTTTAATTCAAATCCTATAACTTTTATAAACTTACTTTTTTATAGTATATACTTAACTTATTTAACAATAAAAAATGACAAGTTTAACTAAGTGTGTATTTAGTTTGAGTTTTTAAATTAGTTGACACAATTGTATAAGTTAGAAATGTAAAAGCAATAAATTCATAAGTTTAACAAAGTTTGTATTTAATTTAAGTTTATAAATGAGTTGATATAATTTTATAAATTTAAAATATAAAAATATTAAACTCATAAAATTAACTTGAGAGTTTAACAACTATACCTGCGTTAATTGAAAACCACATTTGTCATATATTGTATTTGGCACCAACCATTACACGACTTTGATTTGGTCAGTGGTAAACTTAAGAAACTGTTTTGAGAATATGTATATATATATATTTTCTTTATTTAAAAATATAAAATATTTTTTAAGGAATTGAATGCTTAAAAAAAGACATTTTTAAGTCTTTTGAAATGAAATTATTACCTTTTTTAAAAAGTGCTCATACTGATAATAGCTTTATATTTATTGTAAGGCGTTTAATAGAGATAAATATGAAAAGATAGGATTAATTTGAAAGTAATAATAACTTTATTGTGAGGTGAAATTTTGTTAAAAATACCTTATATTTTTAAATAAAAAAAAGTATAATATTAAAAGTCAAACTATTATTTAATCTCAATTTTACGTGTACAGATTGGGCCACTGATATGCAAATAATAGATTGATGTGACCTAAGAGTCTCGACTCTCTTTTCAGCCCACCGCCGGGAAGACTGCTAGAATTATCCAAAGTTCATCATTATTATCTTGTTTTCCTTTACGTTTGGTACAAGTTGGCAAATGAAACATTTATAAACCTTGCTGGTGGCTTCTCTTCTATCATTCTCATTCTCTGAATTTTAATTTCATGGTCAGTAACTCATATTCAAAATTAATTCCAGAATATTCCAATCATGATAAAAGAAAACATAATCGCAATACTAAAAAATAAAAATAAAAAATTCCTGCGCGATGATCAAGGACATGCTTGATATTTCTTAATAAACGAATGGGGTTTATTAATGACTTGGTCAAATGTTACAATCCTCATATGCGTGATGATTGTGCATTGACATTGACACAACACGTCGTTAAAAAATACACACGCATATATGTAGAGTTCATTGATTTTTCAGAGCCCGCAACGACTACAAATATGCACCATTCTAAGTTGACTCCACCGTGATTAAGAAATTATAAGCTTGCCTAGCGGCCTGATATTCCAAGACGATGAAAAAGCTTATCGTCTTGTTTATGTGGATTTTATGTCATTCCCCAAGCAGCATGGCTCAGCCAAACGAAAGCGTACCAGTTAAAGTAGGAATAGTACTTGATCTTTCTTCTACAGCAGCAAAGATGGGCTTGAGCTGTATCAACATGTCCCTTTCTGACTTTTATGACTCTCATTCTCATTACAAAACCAGGCTCGTCTTCCTCCTCAGGGACTCCCACTCAGACATTGTTTCTGCAGCTTCTCAAGGTTCTCTCTTTCTCTCTCTGTATTTTCTTGTGCCCTGTTTATGTAGGCCTGGAAGCTTGGGAATTATCCACAGCATCATCTTGGTCCGAAAGTTTATACATTTCGTCATTTGTTCTTTGTCATAAATCTCATGAGTAGCGCCCTGTTATTGTTTGAAAATTATTCTATAAACGAAATAAATTGCATATTATTTAGCTAATCTTTTTGCATAACTTTAGTAAGATCTGATGTTTTCATCGAATGAATGTTTGATTTACCCGCATGATAGGTTACCATAGGAAATAAATTTAACACGCATACTTATGGACAAGAATGGTTGAAATTGAACACAAATTGTTAAATGAGGAAATTTTAAACTAGAGTAGAATCCGATGATTTAGTTTTAGATCCACAACCAAAATGATCGCGGCATAATTATTTTTTCTCGAAACATGTAATTTTCTATCGTTATGCAAACAAGTGCGAGGTCAAACGTACTTACTTCTGATCTGATTTGAAGATTTTCTTGATAAACAGCTCTGGATCTTATAAAATCAGAGAAAGTGCAAGCCATAATAGGTCCATTCACGTCAATGCAGGCCAACTTTTTGATCAGTCTGGGAGACAAAGCTCGTGTTCCCATCATAACCTTTTCGGCAACAAGTCCTTCTCTTGCTTCCCTTCCAAGTTCATATTTTTTTCGAATTGCACAGATCGATTCAGCTCAGGTGAACGCCATCGGCGCAATCGCACAAGCTTTTGGGTGGAAAGAAGCGGTGCCCATTTACGTGGACAACGAGTATGGGAAGGGGGTCATACCCTTCTTGACTAATGCTCTTCAACAAGTCTACGTTCGAATCCCTTATCAGAGTTCTCTTTCACCTTCAGCCACCGATGAAGCTATCAGAGCAGAGCTCTTCAAGCTGATGGCCATGCAAACCAGAGTCTTTGTTGTGCACATGATCCCCAATCCAGGCATGCGACTCTTCTCCATAGCAAGACAGATCGGAATGATGAGCAAGGGCTATGTCTGGATCGTAACAGATGGCTTGGGTAATGTATTGAGCTCTTTGAATTCCTCGGTCATAGAATCGATGCAAGGAGTATTGGGGGTGAGGACTTATATTCCTAAAACAAAGCGGTTAGATGATTTTAAAGTTCGATGGAAAAGAAGATTCTTGCAAAACAATCCTACCCATGTCGATACCGATTTGAATGCCTTTGGAGTATGGGCTTACGATGCGGCCACAGCATTAGCTATGGCTATCGAGAAGGCCGATACCAACAATCTGGGATTTGCTACGAGCAATGCTTCGGCCAATTCAACTGATCTGGAAAGGATCGGAGTTTCAGAAAGTGGTGAAAAACTGCGCGAAGCCTTATCAAACACTAGATTTACAGGCCTCAGTGGAGACTTTAGAGTTGTTAACAGGCAATTGCAAGCTTCGACGTTTGAGATATTGAATGTGATTGGGAACGGAGGAAGAACGATTGGTTTTTGGACCCCACAAAATGGAATAGTCAGAAATGTAGACTCAACTTACACCAAAATGTACTCTACATCAAGTAAGGATCTAGGTTCCATTATATGGCCAGGGGACACGAACTCTATTCCAAAGGGATGGGAAATCCCCACAAATGAGAGGAAGTTGAGGATAGGGGTGCCAGTGAAAAATGGTTATCCTGAATTCGTGGAAGTAACTCGTGACCCCATCACTAATGCAATAGAGGCCACTGGGTTCTGCATTGATGTGTTCAAAGCAGTGTTGGAAGTTCTCCCTTATGCCTTACCTTATGAATTCATCCCTTTTGCCAAGCCAAATGGTGAGAGTGCAGGATCATACAATGAGATGATCAGCCAAGTTTATTCTGGGGTAATCAATTCGAGTTTGATAATTTTTTTTCTTCCTTAATATTTACTTCAAATTTATTTTGATGAAAAGTTATTTCCCATTAGCAGAACTTTGATGCTGTAGTGGGGGATGTCACAATTATAGCAAACAGGTCTAACTATGTGGATTTCACTTTGCCGTACACTGAATCTGGTGTAACAATGGTAGTTCCTGTAAAAGACAAGAGGAAGAAGAATGCATGGGCCTTCTTAAAGCCATTGACTTGGGATCTCTGGGTGACAATAGCGTGTTCCTTTGTATTCATTGGGTTTGTTGTGTGGGTGCTGGAACATCGAATAAACGAACATTTTAGAGGGCCCCCATCGCACCAGATTGGCACTTCGTTGTGTTTTTCGTTCTCAACCATGGTTTTTGCCCATCGTAAGTCCTAACCCTCCTTGCTTTTAGTGAATGATTTTGATTTTATCAATGTGGAAATAACACAAGATGGATTGAATGATGCTACAGGAGAAAAGGTAGTGAGCAACTTGAGTAGATTTGTGGTGATCATATGGGTTTTTGTGGTTCTAATTTTGGTTCAAAGCTACACTGCCAGTCTGACGGCACTTCTAACAGTGGAGCAGCTTAGCCCAACTATAACAAACGTGAATTTACTTATAAATAAAAGAATGTATGTTGGTTTCAAGAGAGGTTCATTTGTGCGTGAAATCTTGAAAAAAATGGGTTTCCTTGATTACCAGTTTAGAATATATAATTCCACGGAGGAATGTAACGGACTGTTTGCAAGAGGAAGTGAAAATGGTGGCATTGCTGCTGCATTCGATGAAGTGCCATATGTGAAAGTCTTTCTTCAAAGTTACTGCTCAAAGTATACCATGGTTGAGCCAACTTTTAAAACTGGGGGCTTTGCCTTTGTAAGTTAATTTTGTCGTCAGTTAGGACTTGGGACTTTCACATTTCTGTGTCTGCTCTATTATAATTCTACATTCTTCTTCAACTACTATCTTTGTAAATATAAATTACAGGTGTTCCCTAAAGGATCTCCTCTTGTGGCTGACGTTTCAAGGGCAATCCTGAATGTAACTCAAGGAGATAAAATGAAGGCCATAGAGAATGCGTGGTTCAAGAAAAACAATTGTCCAGATTCTGATGCCTCAATTTCATCAAATAGTCTAGGACTTGAAAGCTTCTGGGGACTATTTCTCATTGTAGGGGTTGCTTCTGCTCTAGTTCTTATTGTCTTCGCCATTAACTTCACGTATCAGCATAGACAAATCTGGTTGCAGTATGATGCTAGTAGTACTTCAAAGTGGAGCCGAATTAGGGAGTTGATGAAGAGGTTCGACCAAAGGGATCTGAGTGCTCACACTTTCAGAAAAAGGGAAATGCGAAATAAAAGTGAAACTTGTAGCGCGTCTCCAAGTACAAATTGCCCCCCAAGTCCATCTAGCCAATCAGAATCAAACTTCTCGTTTTATGGTGGGGGTAGCCCAGTAGCCTTGCGCCACAAGACACGGAAGTAACCTTAGTGCATGTAGAAATATAGTATCTGCCATTACTTGTATATATGCTTCTGAGGTGACCTTTGCGTCCAACTCATGAAATTAACCTCATTTATTCAAAATGACGCAACAATTTGTCAACTTAACTGCAAGGCAGAATTTTGTTTATTTCATATCAAAATGCATAGTGTTTCGTTTGACTATTTTCAATTATTAAGATATTTTGCATTTCTAAAAGAATGTGACTGTTAAAGTATCGTGTTTCGCTATATGACCAAACTGAAGGTTGAGGGTTCTATCTTTGCCTTGGAATGGAGTGCGAGTGAGCTATGTGAAATTGTCCCAAGTTAGGGTTTTTTTTTTGGGGGGGGGGGGGTTACATGTATAATATTTGCATATTCATCGTTTTTTCATCTATATCTTTTTTTATATAAATGATCTTGGTTTATGAACTATTTTGGCAAAAAAAAAAAAAAGAATTATGATACTATTGAAGTATATACGAGAGCTTACAAAGTGGAATATTATAAAAATAAATGGTTCAAATTGGTGCTTGAGCCTTTACATGAATAGTTGAATACTGGAGAATTCGATGCTTCAATATATCATTTTAATTTCAGGGTTTGGTAGCATGGGCAACGTCATTATCATCTTATTCGATGGGATAAGCTATAATGATATGGGACGGACCAAAAGGAGTTTTGAGCTGGAGATGCAAGATGGGCTCAGAAGATAGTTGAAGAACAATTGCTATGGTGTCCAATGAGACGGGTGTGGATGATTGTGGAATTTTTTTTTTTTTAATAATTGCTCACATATATGGTATATCCTCCTAGTGAAGGCAATCATATATAAAATATGATCAGGAACAAAATGTAAGTATCTCACCAAGGAACTAATTCCTTTTGCTATGTTTTTTATTTTCATTATTTATAATTTATAGTGTTGTAATTTCCCTATGAATGGAAGGAAAAAATGGGAAGAAAATATAAATGAAAGAAAATCAAGAGAAAGATTTTTTAAAAATAGTGAAATTATTTTATTATTTGAGAGTTTTTCTTCCTAATTTTCTATCCTCTCTATTTTTTTTCTCCCCCATCTAATCCAAGAGTTAATCTTGTTGAAATTGTCTTAAGGTTTAGAATTTCCATTAAACAAATATAATTTGTATTTTCATCGCCATAATAAACTTGAGTTCATCACATGAGCTTCTAACTAAATCCTAAGACTAGGTTAGCGTCTACCCTATGTTTTAAAAGACATGTTTGATAGAGTAACTAAAATCATATTTAAAAGAAAAGAATAGATTCTTTGTTATTGAAGAATATACTTAGCTTGGCGTGAGGGACGGTTCTCATCACCATTAATTTATTCACCCGTCCATCCGAAAATTTAATTGTTGTACTTTTACATGCCACAATATTGGTTGTCAAAGTTCTCTGCTCATGTTCCTACAATAAAGGCCACTAAATTAATGTTTAATTAATGACAAGTTAACGAAAACAAATATTAATTTATAATGTATAAAGAGTATCATTTAAAAGAGGATAACTCACGATACTCAGTCAAATTTCTCAATAGATTAGTCTCATATTATAGAGATACCATGAAAATCCAAAAAAGGAGGAAAACATGCACCCTAATAATGAAAGCAGCAAAGAAAGTCGAAGACCTTTTCTTTGATTTATACATTTCATCGTCACAGCCAATTACACTCCATAAGCAATAAACCTTTTTTTTTTTTTACCAGCAAGCAATAAACTAATTTAAGGTGCACGAGCCAATTTGATAGCAATGATGGAAAAGAAGCCATCAAATTTTCAAAGATTTTTATTTTAAAAAAATGATCAAGGGTTTGAAAGGATAAAAAAATTTCACAATTAACTAACTTTAATTAATTCTCTGAATCTATATGAAATTATTAATATAGTATTTTATTTATCTTTCGTCCGATATAGTGCAATAAGTATGAAAATACCACTAATAACTATATATATAAAATAATGAGAGGTAATCAAAGTCGGTGTAAGCATCCGAGCCAAGACCACAATTAAAATAAAAAGAACACGTTATAAATTGGTTGAATCATTCAACACCTCAAATAAATGGGCAGATTGACTTTAAGATTTGAGCCCGCCAAATATAAACTTATTTATTATTGTGTTTAATTGCGCTTCATATATAATTATTATGATATTTAAGAAGCAATCTAATTGTTGAGTTAGATTGCAATTTGAACCTTAAAATATATATATATATATATATAAAAGGATGCTTTAAATCTTAAACTTGTATTTGAAATATTTTAGGACCTATTTAATTTTTTTTTGTTTCACATTCAAAAAATAAAATTTTATTTTCAATAACTTAAAAGTTATTTGGATGAAATATTTTATAGAAAAGTACATCCTGAAAGTACATTCAAATAGTAGTTGAAAGTGAATTTTTAAAACGTAACTATTTGAAGTTTTTGAAAAGTAAAATATTATTTGACCATATTACCCCAAATTTAATCTCTTATTCTTTTATTTAAAAAATAATTAATTCATTAAAATATAATTATTATTTTAATAATAATAATTAGGTATTAATTTTTTAGCATTATAAATTAAATGATTAATCATATTAATTTTTAACATTAATATATAATAAAAATTACAACTCTTTATCACATTTGTTAAAATTATAAATTAAAAAAATACAAATAACTAGAGATCAAATTTTTAGCATTGTAGATCAAAATTTATGTTATTTAAAATCTTTATCACATTTTTTAAATATTTTAAATATATTATATTTGTATAATAAAAATTACAAATTATCATAAATTAATATTTTTTTAGTAATTGTACATTCAAAAATACATTTTATTATCACAATCCAAACAATTTTTAATATTTCAAACTGACTTTTGAAAAAATATATCCAAATATAAATTTATTACAATAACTAATTTTTACTAAATTGACTTTTATCAAATGAACATTTATCAAATGAATCTTTGATAAATTGAAAATCAAACGCACACTTAAATTTTGAACAATTACATTTGAAATAATCTGGCCTTTGCCATTAACTTGAAATATGCTGACTGTTATGTTATAGGAGAGAAAATTTTTTTAACTTAGCTTTTTGGTTACATGGATGCAAAAGACTCCTCAGACTCTTCACTGCTCTCACTCTCCTATACTCTTCACTTTTGCAAATATGGCTCTCCCTCTCCTCCTCATCCTCTTTATCACAGCCACAACATCCTCTACATTGCCCTCTTTCAATCTCCTTCGCTCCTCATGCATCGCCTTTGTCACCCCTAAGGCCTCGCTCAAGCTGCCCTCTTTGTCAACCTCATTCCACTAGAACTTAAAAGCCATTCTCCTCTGCTTATACTCCTCCTTCTTCATCTTCCTCAAGTAGGGTGCCCTCTAAAATCAAAAGTTCCATTCCTGCAATCATGGCTTGAAATAATTTTCAAGCCATTAGGTTCATTATGCTAACCCACCTGATGTAGTGAATCCAAATGCTTCCCTTTGTTGGGTTATTGAAGGTGGGAAACTGTTCCCTTCTTTTAGTGCTTAGGAATCTTCACCCATATCTTCCTTTGATTTGGAGAAATCTTGCCAATATTGAAGAGATGGTGAGCTTCCCTCTGTTTAATGTTTTTGATGTAGGTGTTTGGATGTTTTATTTCAATTCTTTGATTGTTTGTTAGATTTGGGTTTACATGAATGTGGCCTTTAATTTTCTCTATTTCATTTATTGAATTTTGTATTTTGAATTCATGCTTCCAAGATTGTTATCCATTGGAATTTGGAGCTATGGAAGTTGAATTGGATTTTTCGTTATCCAAAACTATCCATGAACTCTTCAACATCATCAGAATTTGAGTTTAAGAGGGCGAGAATTTCAAGATCCACACTTTCAATGCCAAGGTGTGGATGTATTTTAAGGATATGAGATTTAATCCCTTTTTTCTTGAGACTCAAATCATCCTTTTGTTAGACTATAATGGTTGATGGTAAGTTGTGGAAAAGAAAGTATGGTTGGAGGAAGAGAATGCAAAATTGCGAAGAAGGATCATAAGAATGTGAGAGAAAGAAGTAATAAGCCTCACCATGTTAGCGAATCCAAGTCACCTGTTTACACATTTAGAAAAAGTAATGGATGTTTGCTTTAAATTAATGACAAGAGCTAGATTGCTCCAAATATAATTGTTTAGAATTTAAAATATATTAAAAATAAATTTAAAGTTTAAATCGTCTTTTGATTTATAATTCAAGGTTTAAACTGTCATGTAACCCTTAATTGTAAAAGTAGAATAGTGTACATTATAATCATAATGAGTGTTAAAAGTGGAAACTATAACCCACTTGGCCCATTGTTTGTTTTTCATAATTTTTTTAATGGGTCAAAGATCTTTTTTTTTTATCAAGTATTCATATAAGATATTCTGATATTTTGATTTTTGTCTTGGCGCAATGTCTCTCTTTAATATTTGAAAACATTATAATTTTGCCTTTACTATTAAAAATGTTAAGTTTAACTATTAATTGACTTGAAAATTCATTTAAAATTATTTAAAAAATTACATTAAAAAACTTTTAATAAATTAATATTAATTAAGTTCCTTAAATTAAAAATAATTTTAAAAGATTAAAGTTATTTTTTTACTCATATAAAAGACTAAAATACCAGCTAGATCAATTACTTTTACCAATTACCAAATGATTATTGAATTATCATAGTTGTCAATAATACCAGTAAAAATTATTAAATATTAAAATATTAATGTCTTAATAGGATATCATTTAAATAAATATTATTTTTGATTATTTATTATTAGGGTAAAATATAATATTTGTCTCTTGGTTTTTGTTTAGTATTAATTTTTTTATATGATACTTACTTAAAGCTCTTAAATCTTTCTTGTCTTTTTCTGATAATTTTTTGAATTAATCAATGACTAAAATTAATATTTATTAATAATAGAGATAATATTATACAATAAAAAATTTAGAATATCAAGCACTGATATGTGAACAGTCAAAAGACAAAAATGTTAAAAAAATATTTTCTTTAAATCATGGTAGGGAGTGGAGACTTGAATGAGTGAATTGGTGGGTTAATTAATTCATAATTTTTAAATTCT